TAAAGACAAGAAATATTTATTTCAGAAGGAGGTTTATATAGATATCACTTCCTTTAACTTAGGTCATATTATTAAAATTCTGATTTTGTAACTCTTCGTTATAAAAACTCCCTATAATCTCTTTATTGTTTAAATCTATAATTTTATAGGTAATAGGAATTGTGTTTAAAATTTCATTAACTATAAATATTTCATCAGTCCAATTTTTATTAAATTTATTATCAAATGTTTTTTTATAAGCTGTTATTCTTACTCTATCACCTACACTAAATTTAATTTTTGGTTTAGGTTTGTTTTCTGTAGAAAATAATTTGTGAAAAACAACATCTTCGTTAGATTTATTTACTTCACAAGGTCTCATACCAATAGATCGATGTACGTCTTCGAAATTATATTCATATATTAATTTTTGTAAAATTTTAATCCATTTTTTAGAATTTGTAACTTCAAATTTTAATCTCATTTTCTTGTTTAATGTCCTATTAAATCTTTCAATAATTGATGAATTTTCTTCATTTTGGGTGTGATACATTTTAATTTCATATTCTTGCAAAACTTTTTTAAAATGTTTATTTTCAAATTCCAAACCTTTATCTGTGTGAAGTAAATTTGGTGCTTGATGATTTTGTGATATAGCTTGTTTTATTATTTTTTGAAATGCTTCTGAAACACTAATTCCATCTTTCTTTTTGAGTTCTAAAGCCCAAGAAAATTTTGAAAATGTATCTATAACAGTTAATATATAAGAATAACCCTCATTTTCATCAGAATAATTTCTCATTATAACTAAATCAGCAGCCCATAAATCATCAATTTCTTTAGTAAAAATTCTTCGTTTAGGAAATTTTTTTCTAACTGGTTTATGAAGTTCTTTAGCTAATTTCATTTTATCTGTATCATTTAATTTTTTATTGGAAATATTATGTCCAATTGTAGACATTTTTATAAATTTACTTTTATTTGTGTTACACTTGAAACATTTTGATGAAATTCTCCATCTACCATTAACTGTTTGAATTTTAGTTGCATTAATATTTTTTGTTGAATTTTACATTTAAGACAATATATAAATCGTCACCATTCATTTTATATTATATTAAATTTTAAATAAATTGTTTATATTTTTTAATAAATTCTAAACATAAATGTCCACATATAGGTGGATCATCATAATCTTGGAATTTATCATCAGTATATTGAAGGTTATTTTCACCTAAATATTTTACAAGTTCTGGAGGAGGAGGCATTCCAAATGAATCGAAATAAATTTTTTATTTTTTATTTTTTTCCATGCAACCCAATGTGACCCGTCTTGAGTAGAATTATTTAAATTTAATATTCCACATTCATTTAACAGTGGTTTAAGAGGTAATTCATCTCTCATGAAACAACCTCTGAATATTTTTATATTATTTCCAAATTGTATTATATCAAAATTACTTAGCGGTTCAATTTTTAGATATTTTTTTTTCAAATTTTTTATAAATGATGATTTATTGAAATTATTCATTTTTTTCGATTTTTTTTTTTTTCTTCAATCCAGAACCTTTATTTTCCATTGCTTTATTATGTCGAATTGTTTCTTTTACAATTGCATTTTTATAATTTTTATCATTAACACTGTTGTAAATTGCAGATACACCTCCAACTAACGCGCTAGCTGCACCTATCCCTGCAAAAAGTAATGGTAAAAATCCACCTTTTTTATCTTTAATTTGCGAATTTCGAATCTCTATTCTTACTCCAGATTTTTTATCCTTAGCGTTTTTTAATTTATCTAATTGAATTTTATCTAAATTATAAATATTTTCGCCTTTAAATATTTTGTTACTAGCAAAATGAAGTGTTGCATTAGTATTATTTTTATGAGCTTCTTGTAATTTTTTAATTTGATTTTTATTTAATTTAAAATAGTACGTCATTTTATAATACAAAACATTATAAAATTTATTCATATATCAAATTCATTCCTAAACGTCTTTTTCCTTTCATTGCATATGCAGTTATTATAGCCGGAATTTTTTCAGATATAGGACTATCAGGATCATTATATCTTTCCAATGCTTTTTGTTGTAAAACTTTATCAGCAATATGTCTTGATTTAATGTCTTTATGATTTTTGTAAAAATAATCGTGTTCTCTTGCAGCTTCGTCTAATTTGTTGATTGGTTGTATATTTTGTTCTTCATTTTTCTCTAAATCTGTAAATGGTCCTAAATATTTATATTTAGGATAATGCATCGGAGGTAAATATTTACAATTCAAAAAATCATTAAAAAAGCCTGCACCTTTTATAATTTTCTTTGGTAAACTTGAAATAAATGACCATAAATATATCGGACCTTTATCGGAATATCAATTCCTTTTTCATTATTTAATACAAAAATTAAGTATTTCAAGTTTTTTATTATGAAAATAATTATTTCCTACTCTTTCTTCACTAGATATATAGTATATTTGTTCTCTTAATTTTTGTATATGTATATCATTTGTTATTTCTTTTGGTAAATTTATCACATATTGTAGTAAATATTCAATACCTTTAGGATCATCTATTAAATGTTCCATTTTTGTTTTAAATAATTTAAGAATCCCATGTAGTTCATTATGATAAGTATAATTTCCTGCTTTTTGTTCAGCTGCTA